AAGTCAGCCTTAGCAAAAGCAAGGTGCTAAAAACTCAATGAGATCCTCTCTCTAAATAAAATACAAAATAGGACTGGGGATATGGCTCAGTGGTCAAGTGACCCTAGTTCAATCCCTGTTACCCCAACCCATGCCCCCAATAATATCATGTGGAGAGCATAGTTTTGATTTAGAAGCACATAAATATTCCATAAGAAGAAAATAAAAACATATATCATAAGAAGAAAATTAAAGGGTAATACTGAAAAGTCTTCAAATCTGTGGTTAAGAAAATGAGCTGGGCAAAGTGGCACACACCTGTAACCCCAGTGACTCAGAAAGCTGAGGCAGAAGGACTGCAGATTTGAGGCCAGTCTGTCAACTTAAGGAGGCCTTAAGCAACTAAGTGAGACCCTGTCTCCAAATCAAAAAGAATGAATAAATGAATGAATGAATGAATGAATGAATGAATGAATAAATAAATAAATAAATAATGGTTGGGAATAAAGTGCCCAGTGGGTTCCATTCTCATTACCCAGTATCAAAACAAACAAACAAACAAATATATAATTAAATAAAGCGAAAGAAAAAGAAACCTAGAAGTCCTTAATGAAAGGACACTCTGAATCTAATATTTCAGAATTGCCTATGTAAATTTTCATGAAATAAACTATCCTCATATAAACACCCTCAAAACAGAATTTAAATTTTAACAAATTCAATGCAAACAAAGTGAAAAATAATCAAAATGATAAAATGAAAACAGAAAAAAAGAATATTTATCTTACATGCAATGGATAATGCATAGCATGACCAGACCCAAACAGCATGCAGGGAGGAGGCATTATCAGGAAGATTTGGCAATATGAAGATCATGTCCCAATCCAACATATAAAGACACAGAGAAGAAAATGAAATCATAACAGAAACATATCAATGCACCACTTGTATTTTTAAATGGCAATCTGGCGGGCCACATTTTAAAAAGACTCATCATAGGCATAGAGACTGAAAAATTTTCAGAATTCTAATAAGAAAAAAACAAGACAAGATTAAGAATAGAAATTTGTTTGATTCTATGGTCTCTAAATGCCCATTACTTTTGCTCATTTTAAATATGTGACATTTCTATTTGCAAAATTTAAATATCAACTATCATAACAATCATTCATTTTGTGAAAATAAAAGGCAGGATGCAATATTAGCAAATTTTAAATTTGAAATAATTATTTGTCACTATGATTACAATACTTCATCGTTCAAAAATATTCCTCAAATTGAAAAGTCTTATATGGTTGCTAGATTGCCATTTGGAGTTTTCTTAGAATGAAAACAAAAATAACATAAACTATTATTCAGGATGTTTATTTTTTAATCATAATATTTACATGCAGTATTTGATTTTGAGACAAAAATTTAAATTCACTAAAATGCAGGATTGCAAAAATATAATTTAAGATGATACATAAAAAGAAAACATGCAAGGAGAGTATCAAAATATCAATATCAAGAATGACCTACACATAATATTAATCTTTATAAGAATTGTAAAAGATTCAGGGACTCATATGCAACAACATAAGATTCAGATTTTCTTGGAGCTCTAGAGCTCGAAGAGAAATGAAGCTTTTACTAGTTCAGTTCTCTGCACTTTAGAACAACCTAGGAAGCTTTAAAAATAATTTGGAGGCCAAAGTAAATTAGAAATTTCAAGAGATGGAGCCCAGTAATAACAGATACGCTTCATTTCCCAGATGAACAGTCCGGGCAGGGCAGAGACACTGCTTTTCAGGTAAACAAACTGAAGTACTCCTCTATTGGCCTCCAGAAGAACTGAACTCAAACTGTTCTAATTCACAGTTTAGCAACCTCTTCTGAAATCACACCACGTCTCCATTGTAATGTGACCAACACTTTTTTTAAGAAAATGGTAAGCTTATATAGAAAGTATTAAATGTTGAACTTTCTTTGAAATTCGGAAATTCTCAAAGTTGTAGAAAGTATCCTTTTATGCTGATTATTTTTAATGTGCCCAGAAACATAAATAAATAAGTAAACAAACAAACAAACAAACAAACTAACTAACTTTTTTGTTTTTTACAGGGCGTACCAGAGATTGAATTCAGGGGCAGTTGGTCACTGAGCCACATCCCCAGCCCTATTTTGTATCTTAGAGACAGTGTCTCACTGAGTTGCAAAGCTCCTTGCTATTGCTGAGGCTGGCTTTGAATCTGCAATCCTCCTGCCTCAGCCTCCCACGCCTCTGGAATTACAGGTATGAGCCATCATTCCAAGGATATACATAATAACTCTTAAGTCTTGTTGATGGCAAAGATTTTGCAATAAATTTGCCAGGTGGTACATATTCACACTTTTTATTTGGAATATTGAACATTTTCAATTAGCTGAAGGGAAATTAACTTCTAATCCCAAATTATACTTTTAGAAATTCAAAGAAATTTTGGCTTAAAATTTCTAGTTTATGGAAACTATCACATAAGAATTTCTATTTGCAATTAGAAGTCAATTTTATAAGCAAATTGTTAGGATCACAAAGATTTGACACTAATTTCACAATATTTAATAACATTTCCTTTTTAGAAGCCATCTCATTATGAATACCCTTGATTGTTAATATTATTACATAATTACTCAGCAATCTTTAGTTCACCAATGCATATCCTCTCCCATAATTAATAACATTTTTGCTGCAGTTTATTGAGAAGTGATGCTCATTTCCATCTCATGCTCTGTAAGCTAATGTCAGGAAATGCAGTTTTAATCAAAAGCTATAAGACCAAGCTTGATCTCAACTCTGATTTAGCAAATTTGAAAGCACAGCTAAGTCTACCTTCATTCATTTACCTGAACATTGGGTCTCCTTTTTCTTAAATTAACTGTTGGTATGCCTACACCAATAGGCTGAAGCAATAAAGAAATGATAATTCATCACAGTACATGTTAACATAGGTAATATTATAATCAATTGTGATCACATATTTCCTTAGTCAAAAAGTGGTTGATACTTAGAATTCAAAATATTTGATAAGCAGCATAGAATTCATGATGAGCTGATTAAAAAAAATGAAAGTTCAAAAATATTTTTAATAAATAAAAACTGTTATCCTCACTTTGGTTGGTTTGTGTAGACAGGAGTGAAGTGAGGGTTGGGATTGTGGGGATGGGGAGAATGGTAAAAAGAGACAGACATTATTACCCTATATACATATATGATTACACTACTGGAGTAACTCTAAATCAAGGACTGCTAGAGAAATGAGAAGTTGTGCTCCATTTGTGTACTGTATGTCAAAATGCATTCTATTGTAATTTAAAAACAACTGATATCCTCATAAAAATCATTGTTTAAGCAAACCAACTGTTAATGTTCTCCTGTTTTTCCTAGAAAAATACACACTTGGGAAGTGTAAAATAATTTGTACTGGACAGTTTTGAGTTTTCCTGATTTAAAAATAAATAGATTGAGAAATAAGAATTGTTAGAATTTATATGACCCAACTTTGCAAACTGCAAATATTGCTAACTTTCTCCCCCAATTCATATGTTGCAATTTTTACCTCAAAATTGATAGTATAAAGGAGAGGAGCAATGTAGGAAGCAATTAGGCTGAGGAGGTGCTTACCCCTCCATGGGATTAGTAACCTATGGCAAACCTGACAGAGATTCTTTCCATTTCTGCCATGTGAGGTCTGAGCAAGGTGGCTGCATGTGAGAAAAAGGCACCTACTTACCAACATGCCTCAGCCTTGCACATCCTAGCCTTAAGGAGTGTGAAAAGTATGTTTCTGGTGTTTATAAGCCACCAGTCTCCTTTTTTTTTTTTTTTTAACCATAGTAGCCTGAATAAAGCAATACTACAAAATACTGAAACATCTTAAACATTTGAAATTTGTGCCTTTGTTTTCTGAAAGTTTAGCCAAAGTTATTTCTATTGAACTGATGAAGAATTCAACCATAACATTCTATACTCATTTTAGATATGGACTTCCAAATCATATATTATACTCCATTTTCAATATAATAAATATCTATCAGAATTTATCAAAATTAGATATTTTATAAATATATCAAATATTAGATATATAAAATATTAGATATTAGACCATATCTGGTTATTTTAATGAAACAGAATGGTAGAAATAAAATATGTAAAATAAAATAAAATAAGGATAAATCAGGAGACATATTTATATTTTTAAAAGTTGTGGTCATAAAGTTACAGTACACATTGAGAAAAAACAGTGTGTTTTAAAGTACATGTATAAGACTTGAATTGGGTGTCAACACACTTTATATACAAACAGAGATATGAAAGATTGTGGTATATATGCCTATTAAGAATTGTAATGCAAAAAAGTACATGTATAATGTCATAAATTGATGTGAACATGCTTTGTATACAGAGATATGAAAAATTGTGCTCTATATGTTTAATAAGGATAGTAATACATTCCACTGTTGTTGTGTATTTTAAAAAATAATAAAATCAATTTAAAAAAAAAGAATTTAAAAAAAATTCATAGCTACTTTATTTACTGATATTTGGGTCTTTTAAGAGGACACTATCCTAACTTCTATGAACTATAACATTATACTAAAATAGTTTGAAATAAGATTATAATATCAGAAAGAAAACAAAAAATACACCAAACCAGGTATGTTTGGTTAACATTAGGTTTTCATCTTGTTAATTAATAATTGGTATGATGGATATAGCTACATTTTCTTTAATTTGTATTGATGAATTTCTGATGAAAGAATTAAGATTAAGTTTGTTGGTATAACATCTGTTACCATATTGTTTTTTGTATTTGTCAATTTCTGAAACATTCATACAATATAGTTTCTTTTGTGAGGTTCTTATATTAATCTGTACAACATACATTGTTACTTACAAAGTAAAAATCATAATATTTATCCTGCTAAATATGAGAGTGCACAAGCATATTTAATTCACAAGTTTCAGGAAAGACAGTATGTTGACCTTTCAGAATTGTTTCTTTTTTAAAATAATTTCCTAAAAGAGTATTTTTTAAAATATCTTACTGTTGCATGCTTACTTTTAATAAAATCCAATACCAAAACATGAGAGCTAATTTTTGAGCTGGAAGAAAAAAGTCAACTAGTTTTTAATGCAAATCTTATGAAATATATATTTTTTGTAATTTTATGAATTTTAATATATTGATTATTCCAAATATGAGTTGAATACATATTAACATCATCAAATAGTGATAAAATACCTTCTATATAAATAGTAGTCATTAGGAGATTACAGAAGATGTTAAAACTTTTTTCAAATTACTACCTTTTCATAATGAAAACTAAAACTTAAATTGTTATTTGTATATCTCTATCATATATAGTTCCTTTGGGGAAAGATTAAGGTCTATAATCAGAAAAATTGGGACTCTTTGTACTCCTTAGCACATTATATTTATATTGCTTTTAGATTACTTTAATTAAGAAGATATAATCTGAAATACACTGGGTACACAAAGTTCAAATAATATTTGAAAAGTTTAAACATTTTTTGAGATTTAGAAAGTTAGATATTTTCAACTATGACAGAAACCATAGCATGATTACCTAATCATAAGCAATGATATGGAGGAATTTAAATGACATACTTTTAAGAAGTGTAATAATTTAATAACACAGACAAGTACTATTGTAAACTTTTATAAAAAGAATATGTTTAAACATGATATAGGATGCTCAATGGCCATGTATGCTTAGCAAACATTTATATCATGATGGATCTTATATGGCAATAAATTCCAAAGTGAGAAGTAATAATATAGAAACATTAAGATATATATTAAGATGCTAAAATAAATCATCACATTTAATATGTAACTCAATATCAATTGTCCTTATTGCTGTTTTGAATATTTCAATGTCACAACTTCATGTGTGTATGTGTGGGTACACTTGTGTTTACTAATCTGAGACTCTTTCAACATCCATGACAGAGAGAAGGAGGTAACAGTCTCCATGGTTTAGAGCATTTTCAACATTATCCTCAAATTTCACCAGTCACTTAAAAATGTTTACAAAATTTCCATTATATAAGATTTTGTCTAATTCTAAATGTAGGTAAATAAATTTTGCCATAACACCTTTTTAAGCATTAGTGAAAAATGAAATGAGTTGAATGAAGTATTTTCTGAAAATGTTTTGTATCTTGGGAAAGTAGATATAAATATTAGGATAAAATAGTTTGTCTATGGATTTTATGGCTTCCAGAACAACTCACTTAGTAAAAACTACACTTCCCATTTCTGAAACCCATCATATACATTTTACTTATTTAATTTTTTTCTTAGGTATTTACAAGCCTGCCCCAATGTGAAACTATAGTCTGGGAGATGGAAAGCAGAGTAATTATCAGAAGAAAAGGGCTATGGGTAATGCATCCTGGGCAGAAAGGAACATTGCTAATGCTTAGGAGGGTCACAGGAATGTCTGCAGCAGCACACCTTCACAGCCTTCACTTCAAAGTCACACATGTGATGTGTGAAAGTAGGTTCAGGAGATGATAATGGCTGTCTTTCACATAAGAATATTAGTTCATCTAAATTGGTAAGGGAAATGCTTTTACCTCTTCACATGTCAGAATCTGTGCTTTTGTCATCTAATAAGGGAACCAGATTACAGACTATTCTTTTGTATTTAATGCTATAAAAGTGAATTTTAAAATGAGAATCCTATTAAGATCATGAGTCATCAATTCTATAAATACTATGCATTGTAAACAAATTATATACATACCTTTGGCTGAAGATTTGGATGTAACAAAACATAACCATTAGGATCAATTGCAAAATAATAGCCATTGGGGCAGAGCTGAAAAATAATCAAAAAGTTTAGAGATGTATGCTCACAATTAGAAATCCACATAATTTTTAAAAAACGTTAAATTAATTGGTTTATCACATTTAAGAGCATGCTAAAGGATGACATTCTATTTCTACTTTTTATTTTAAGGATGATATTTAGCTCCTTTGCTAAGATAATTGCACATCATTTTTTCAGAATTACTTAAGTACTTTATAGACAAGATAAATTAATACACAGTTCTAAGAACAAGAAAGGTTACCAAAAAAGTAAATTGTATCTTACTGTGAAACGTGGTGTTAGTCTTTTAATATCTTCCAAAGACACATCAACGCCCATCACACCAAGAATCAGTTGGTTCTGTAACAAGATGGCAAAAAGTATTTTATTTTGTACCCCAAATTATATATTTCTATACAATAATTATATATATCCATCCTTTTGCTGTAGTAATGGTTGTATTCCATACTAGTGTAAACAAATGTGTGTATGTGTGTGCGAGTGTGCACAGATTGTAATTTGGTGTCAATTTACAAAGATTCTCAGCTTTGATCTTTTCCATAGTTTTATTATCACTGTTACTCAACTTAAATGAAATCTTGATGACTAAGATACCTGAAAACTTTCATTTGATACTTTTTGTACCTTTCTCTCCTAATATTTATTTATGTAATGCTTATTTATTGCATTGTTGGCTATTGTAGCTATATGTGTGCATGTTTGTGCATTGATTTTGTGGTATATTACAATTAAGAAACCACAAAAACGTTCAATTTAAAAGTTGGACCAGTATGGAATAAAGAAACACCATATTCTTACAAATGATAGTGCCCATTTTTTGTAACTATCTTCAAAATATGTGACCTTATTAATAATCAAATCTTCAAGACAGTGTTCCTAATTGCTGCTAATAACTTCTCTATATAATGGGCATCATGGTTTTAATTTCAAGTCAAGAAGCTATGTTGGAAATAACTATCATACTCATCTAAGGGAAATAAAAATGAAAATTGTGTTAAAATTTTGAGTCATAAAACTTTGTTTTAAATAGAATTATATAAATTATAAAGTAATAAATCAAAATGTGTTTACAAACAAAATTTAAAATCTAGTCAGAAATTACAAAAAACACTTTAAACTCTGTGTGGGTGCTTATAAAATTAAAGTCATGTCAACAACTATGCTCTTTTGCCATGAAATAATCCTACTCTGCACTAAACTCTCAAATTAAAGCCATCTCAGAGACAGACCATACTGAGATCTTAAATGCAAATGAGGAATATGAAAATTGCTCCATTATGAATTGCAATTTTTAGAATTCACAGACATTTAAGAATGGTAATGGGACCCTAAAGAGAAATAACTGATATTGGATATGGCTATATTTTTAAGATAAGCAGCTCAACTGAGGTTTACAATAATTGTACAAATAATGCTTAAGTGTAGCAGACTTCATTAAACCATGCACTAGAAATAAATTTCCCTTCAAATAAATAGTATCACATTATAAAATAAACATTTGCTATTAAAAATTCTTAACTCCTGCCTTCTTAAATTCATTCTGAATCAAATTGAGAAATAAAAATTTATCACTACTTTTAAACCAAAATTAACAAAACAAGTACATGATTTTTAAAATAATTATTCAGAACTTTCAAATAGTATTTCATTGCATGACAATATTACCAGTGTTACAAAAATCTAACATTTTTTAGAAACTCATTAAGTATTTTCTCTGTATCTTAAAAAAAACAGGAAAAAAGAACTATAAATCAGATACTTGAATTATGACTAAAAATTCTATTGTTTGGGAATTGGAAGAGTAAGGATTCAATAAATGCATTTATATACACCTGATAAAACATCATTATAGTTTTTGTTCTTTCTTCCCCTGCACCCCACAAACTTCATAAATACATCAAATGCATTTTAAAAATGAGCACACAGTATTGACCATTTATCATGTAATTACTCCCAGAGTCTGACTCTGTGTTCTCATCAGGTCATAATTAAATAGAGCAAAGCTCAACCTCGACTCTGGGGCGACAGAGAGTTTGACCTGAGCTTCCTTTTCCCAGGTGGTTATCACACAGGCAGCTGCTGCCACTGACCTCTGGCCTCACAAGACAGTTACACTGTATGCATTTCCTTACAGGAGTATCTTATCCACATTAAGCTTCAACATCACAGTTTATCATTTATTATTATTAATTTTATCAATTAACTTTTAACCTTTAAGTTTGTCTTATTTTCAAATTGGCCAGTTATGTTGAAGACCGGAAGAGTTCCAGTAATGACAAGTCCCAGTTCCTAAAAACAGATTGAGAGAAAAGGCAAATGAAAATGACAATTTGAACTTTGTCCTACTGCCTTAGACCTTGATATACAAGACTTCATTTTATAGTTACTTGATAAAGAGCCACAAATAACTTGTAACTCATTTTGTGTTTTCAAAATATCAAAGTTTTGTGTTTTCAAAATATCAATGAAAATGTCTTGGATATAATAAAGACTTATTAGGCAGCTATTAAAGCATGTAAGATTTGAAATATTATTCCAGTGTGCATTGCAAATAAATAAAAATATTCTACTTATGTAAAGATTCATTAGCCTCTAAACATTTTAGTAACTGTCCACCCTCCATGCTCTTTTTCACAGAGACAGTTTATCTACCATCAGGGCCCTCCATAAGCAGAATAGAATAAAAATATTATTTTAAATGATTTACTTCATTTTTGTGGTTTTATTCTTAACTTTTAATGCCCTAACCCAAACTATTCATGCTATTTCACAAATGTGTACTAAAAGAACTAAGCTATTGATATAGCCTTTCTGGAACACTCTAGATACATGCTATGCTGTACAAAAGAAGTATTAATTCTAAATAACACCCAAAATAAATATTACATTTTAAGAAAGTAATGTAGAAAAATAAACTTGCAAATGGCAAATATGAAAGTCTAGTCATGAAGCAATTTAGCAAAACAAAATAATTCCATTCGATTAATCAGCAGATTGATATTCTCATATATTAAAAGAATACATGGATATTATGTAAAATAGAAGGTTTTTTTTAAATTACTGATATCCATAGCATGTGTGTGTCTCTCTGTGTATGCATAACCACTATTTCATGTTAAAACAACATTTTCACCAAATCACTCTTTAAAGAAATTTTGAATTTGCTAAAAAACTGAGAAAATATTAGTAATCTCCTTAAAAATAACCCCCAATTCAAACCTCATAAACTCTGATCTGATTCCAGTAACATTGTGGTTTTATGGAGAGAATGTCTTAAATAGGCTTTAGTTTTTACTTGTGCATGCAAGAAGCCCTAAAGCAATGAAAACTGATTCAGGGAGGAGGGCAATCATCCACAAACTTGCAGCAGAACAAGACACTAGATAAGCTGGCATAGCTACAGATAGTTCAGTACATGATGATATACCTATTGGCTCTCTGTTTCATCCTAAACAACAACATTTGAATGAAGAGATCCTTAATTAATTATGCAAATTAACATTCTCAGTGAAAACATTCTATCTCAATAGAAAGTCAGATCAGAAATTCATAAAGCTGGTATCCAGAGGATAATTCTGTGAAGATTACTTTAGATAATTTTCTATTTATGTTGCAATCTATAAGAAAAGTGTTACGATTTGCATGAGGGGTCCCCAATGAAGTGCCTCTGTTAATGCAGGAATGTTCAGAGGTAAAGTAACTGGATTGTGACAGCTGTAACCTAATCATTCTATCCTAGTTTGAACAGACTGGGTGACAACTGTGGGAAGGTAGCAAGTGGCTCAAAGATGATAGGTCAATGGGGTACCCTGGAATAATGGGGTATCTTCACTTTGGCCCATTCTGAGTGTGCTCCTCTCCCCCCCCATCTCTCTCTCTCTCTATCTCTCTTTCCTGACCCCACCATAAGTTGAACATCTTAACTCTGCTGGGCCCTTACCCATTATATGCTGCCTCACCATGGGCCCAGAGTAATGGAGTTGGCCATATCTATGGGCTCAGACCTCTGTGAGCCACAAATAAATATTTCCTCCTCTAAATCGTTCTTGTCGAGTAGTTTGGTTACAGTGAAACAAAACCTGACTAAAACAGACACTGGCACTGAGTGACCATGTGGTTCCCAACATTTTGGAGCTGGTTGGTAGGAAGAATTTTGAAAAGTGTGGCCATGCGGGCTGAAAAAGCTTTAGAATACTGAAAGTGGATGTTAATGGGCAACTCTGGTGGGAGATCAGAAGACAGAGTGCCAACAGAAATGTGACTGTGCTTGTGAGGTTTCAGAGGGAGATGAGGACTCTATTGGGAACAGGATTAGAGGTCATTCATGTTATGGATTATGGCAAAGAATTTGGCTACATTTTTCCCACGTCCTGAGACTTTACGTGAGGTTGAATTTAAAAGTGATGGACTAATAAATCTGGTGGAGGAAATTTCAAGGCAAAATAGCATTCAATCAGTGGCAGGGCTATTATGGCAGCTCTTAGCTAGGTTTACATTGAGAATTGAAAGCAGAAAACAGAGGGAAAGGAGTTGTGGTTTGGCCAGAAATGTGCATGAGAAGCTGGGGATAAGGAAAATAGGCTTATTGAAGAGAGAACACCCCTAAAGAGATGCTAAGTATTTTGCATAAAGTTAAGTGGTCATGAAGGCTTTGACCAAGATTTTGCCTCTGAAGTCAGGCAAGTGTAGCTGGGTTGGAGTTCCTGTGGGCTGTCCCTGAGAATGCAATGGGTTACGGGGAAGCCAAAGCTGGAATGGAGACCCTAGGAAATGAGATTCCAGTAATGTGGACTGTCTACTAAAAAAAAAGCTGTTGACTTAGGAGAGGATCAAGCTAAAAGAGAGCCTATGTGCAGTACAACGATCAAGGCCAAAGTGGCAGAGCTGACCAGACCCTTTGAAAATAACCATATTGCCGCCTAGTGTCCTAGATGCTGTAGGTATAGTTGGGAAACTGTTTGCCCAGCTCTGCTTTGGGTCCATCCCTTCTTTCATCCTTTTTTGGAATGGGAATAATTGCTCTGTACGACTCTAATACATCAAATACATGTAACTTGCTTTTGAATTTTACAGGGGCTCACAGCTCAGAGTTTGCCTTGAGTCTCAGAGGAGATTCTGAAGTTGGACTCTTGGGCAATGCTAAAACTGTTAAAACAATGGGGCTCTGGGAGATAGACTAAATGCATTTTGCATTACTAGATAGAAATGAAGTTTGGGGCGCCCAGGGTAGAATGTTATGGTTGGATGTGAGGTGTCTCTCCTAAACTGCCTGGGTTAATTCAGGAATATTCAGAAGTCAAGTGACTAGATTCAGAGAGTTGTAACCTAATCAGTCCATCCTAGTTTGAATGGATTAGATGATAACTATAGGCAGGTGGGGAGTGGCTTTAAGAAGTGGATCATTGGAGTTATATCCTGGAAAGGTGCATCTTACTTTTGGCCCCTTCTGCTCTCTCTGCTTCCTGACCCCATCCTGAGCTGAGCAGCTTTCCTCCACTGGGTATTTCCCCATTATGCTTTCTCATGTTGGGCCCAGAATAATGGAGTTAGATTTCTATGGACTGAGACCTCCGAAACTGAACCTCACAAACTTTTTCTCCTCTGAGTTTTTGTTGTTGTTGTTGTTGTTTTGTTTTGTCATGTACTTTGGTCAAAAAACTCAAAAAGTGACTAAAAAAAGTTTTAAAAATTGGTGTCATGATAGAAAATATAGATATGGATGTAGTCTTTATCTTTGCCTCATTTCTGCATTTGTATAGAATTTTATACTTTGCTTCTAAAAATGTCATATACCCCCAAATGAGGTCCTAGATGACTAACATATTAGAGTTAAGATAACCATGGATGAATTCATTGGCACCCAATTTCCACTTTCTCCCTCATTTATCAAGTGAACCCAAAAGTATACTGTGTTTATCAGTACTGCCAGTATTTCTAGAGAATAAAAACCAAGACAATATATAAGATTTCTATCTCCTTGGTTTTAATATTTATTTTCTGAAACCCAACTCTTTTCATCTCTCTCTTTTTATTTAAAGAGACTCATTTTATCTCCCAAATAAAATCATCCCTCTACAAGTTACCTCCTTTGTTCTGATATCATATTACTTATATAGGTGACAACAGTCCTTCAATATATCCAGTACACTCCCCAATTTTATACTATATTTATGTGGTTTCTCTCCTCACCATCAGTTAAAGAAACCGTACTTGAACTCATATGTTTAGCTAAAACATCACTATTTTTTTAATGTCCCATTCCACCCCCAGACATATAACTTTTTTTTCTTTTGAAACACCAGAGCTCTTTGAATTTTTCATATTATATTACACTTTGTCTTCAAATATTACACCTTTTCGTTTTTAATAAAACTGTGGATTTGTCTAACATAATTTGAATGTGCCGTATAAATTATAAAGTGATTATAAAAAAATACTTAGAAATATACAATGGGTCCCATATTCTGAAACCAGAAAAAAAAAAGTTCTATTTGTGTGCACTGCATAGCCAACTTGTGTGTTCCATTTCTTTTCTTGTTTTACATTTAGTTTCAACTTGTAAACAGACATTTAGAATTAACATTTCCTTCTAATGTCATTTTTGCTATCAGTAGGAACCTTACCAGCAATGCAGACATTCTGGTTAATGAACTTCTGGTCATAGGAAAGCAACAGGGCATAATTATTGGCTCCTCCTAACATACACTGTCTTGGATGGATTTAAAAAAGTGAAATATCTTGCCCATAGCTTTAGATGACCATGTGACCTTAAGTAAATAAGTGATGTCAAGAAGGAACATTGGGTGGTAATTTTAGCTAGGACTTGAGGTAAGCAAGCCTCACTTTATCTTTCTTAGCGTGCAAGGCCACTGCTAATAGTGCCTATTTTTCTTCCAACTTCCTGTATATGTTTACTTTATAAGAATCAAATGATAAGTAACTCTAAATGGATTGTATTTTGCCCTTTGGGTTCAACATTGCATGGAAAAAAGAAGTAACAGCACATAATTGGACTCCAAGTAGGGGAAAGGGTACTACTGAATCAGCAGTTACTTTTTAGGACTTAGTATTTTGGCTTTCCCCAGTATGTTGTTCCAGCAAAGCATGAATAAAGACTTCAAAGTAAGATTAAGCATATGAATAAATCTTAAGTGTTATAAATCTTTATAAATTGAATATTAGGAAAATAAAAATAACATCAAAACATGACTTTGATCCTACAAAATCTAGGGCTGGATAATTTTTTTTTGCGCATGTGTGTGTAATGGGACTGTTCTGTGCATCTCCAGCCTCTGTCTGTGAAGACCAGTAGTAGCAGTTACTCTCTCTCCAGCCCTGACCATCAAAAAATATATATACAGATATTTCTAAATGAATTGTGAAGGGCAAAATTAACCCCATTTGAGAACTACTGCTTTAAAGTGTGGTGGAATACCTATTCTAATATGTCAGTTGTTCTGTGGATCTTTGGCATGTTGTTTCACACCAGAACCAACCACCAATATCCTATTTCCATTAAAAATGTTTGGATTTGAATTTAAAGCATAAGATCGCATATGAAGAGTATGAAGAGGTAATTAGGCCTGTAATGATTTCAATGTATGATAAGATTTTTGCCTAATAGAATGTACTTCTTAATATTGATGAGTCTGATTACATTTGAGGTTGTACATTTCTACTAGCTGACATCTACTTTAAAAATACTTTCTTTAAAATCTTTAGAAATAGGTTTTAATTTACATGACATTGAGCATTTTTTTACATTAAAATTCAACAAGTTATGAAAATCTCTATACATTCAACATTCTAGGATGGAAATTCTTCATTCTCAATGGATTAACTACAAAACAAAATAATACTTTACATTTGTAGCTCCATATTACATACAAATCTAGAATTCTATTCAAATTATCTAAATTCTGGCTACAAAAGCTTGTGATAGAAGGAATTTTAAAAAGAGTTTAACTTAAACGGGAAAAGAGAAATGTCCCCTAAAAAAGAACAGTCAGTTCTTTTTTAATGGCAGTCTAGTTTAACATCCAATCTCTTACCAGTGCATCCAAGTAAACATTTGTCCATTGGACTTGCTTCGCTTTGTCTCCTGCTAAAACCATAGGTCTCCCCAGAACATCCAGATATTCCTATTTATAAAAGAAAAGAAAAGAGAAAGAAGGAAAGGAAAAAAGAAAGAAAGAGGAAAAAAAGCTATGCTTCAAAAACTAGAAAAGCTATGTGCTTTAAAAAACAAATTTCCACAGGGGGAAAAATAATCTAGAGTTAAAAATGAATACGGAATCAAATTATTAACAGAGTGAATTATTTAATCCTATTTTGGGCATTTAATAAGTGGTAAGTCTCCATACTTTGAATCAACAATATTTGACTTATTTACATAATATATCTACCCCCATTTTTTCTAGCAACAATAATCAGAACATTGTTTCTCAAGGTACAGCCTATGATAAGTGAAATACATGCCTTATGAATTGTTTCATGTTGATCTAAACTATTTAAGGCACTATGATTTACTGTGTGAAATTGCACAAATTTGAAATAATAAAGCAGCCACATACTTGCTTTCATATCACAGATTGTTTGGCTGGAATTCAAAACTACATTTAAACATATCAAAAAATAAATGAAATATGGTGCCAAATCTAGACATGAGACTCAAATGCAGCTGCTGTTTCATTTCAACATTCAATGTATTCAGTATTAATTTCCACAAAGGCAGTGTTATTTATCCTAAATTGTGACTTAGTTTATTTTGTAGATTCTCAGTTATGTTTAAAATTGAGAGATGGTTTTAAACAATAATTTATGAATTGAAAATAATATACATTTAAATTCACTTCATTACTAATCCTACAAAAAAATTACTCAATATACGTGTTTTCAATTGAATGAGTTAGAAAACTTGTCTCCTTGTAACTATTTTAATCAGTAAGTAGATCTTTAGGGATTATTTGAAAATAAATATGGCCTTGTATAATTTGTCAAGAATAATTATTGTTTAACTTCTATATTGTTAAGAAATTTACTTAAGTGATCTGCAACAGAATCAAGTTCCAATAACATGAGACTGTTAGTAAATTTGATTATATTCATTATGGTGAGAAAAATAACATATTCATATTTCTATTCATGTTTTTACCTGAGTTTTGGATGTTTGAAAACACTTGGAACCTTAATGAAATAAAAATCCATCATTATGATACTCAGCATTTTAGTAAAAAATGTAACATTTTGTGTTTTTTTTTCATTTTCATCTCTTATTTCTATATTGAGCACATTTAAACTGAAAAAAATATCTTAAACTTTGAAAAAATATTATAAGTGAGTTTCAAATAAACATACCTGAGTATTAATTCTTATTGCTCCAATTGAAGGAATTTCATAATAATAACCTGAAATACATATATGTATTTATACATATAAATATTTCATTATAATAGACAAAATAGTTTTATGTCTTTGTAGGATAAAAGGATATGGTTTTCACTGCTAAATTAAGCAAACATTGAAATATATATACAACTGACAAATTCAGAAGATATTTGATAAATGAATATTTGTAACATACGAACAGGCTTTATGAGAAATTTTACTGAATTTCTTAGATAGTGTAAAATAAATATTCTTCTATAAATAAGTAGGAAAAATGGCATAGTGAAATATATTTTCACTATACATATTATTAAAGATGTAGATATATAGTTATATATGTATATATATATTATATATGCATATATATCCATGCACATATTCACATACACATAAAATGTTTGCCTAAATATAACTCTGAGAATACTTCAGGTTCTTTTAGTTGCTACGGTATCACAGTTTATTTTTCAAATAACATTTTTTTTTTCTGGCACAAAAGAAATATGGGCTCACTACACAAAATTTATCTAGGAATGTATGAGACATTTTTCAAAAAACAGTAATTTAGCAACTCAAAAACAGGCTCACATGTGTCACACTGTCATATGTTTTATAAGATTCAGATATTCTTTTATTTCTACTTTTCCATATAAAATTATATTTATTATATATCATTATTATTCAATACATCCTTTTATGAATTTACAATATTATGATTTCATAATTTTTTGCAACATAATGCTAATGCCAAAAATGTATTATGTTTTCACTATAAAAAAATGTTCACAATCTTTTTGCCTTGGGCTGGGTGCTATTGTGCACTCCTATATAATCACAGTGATTAAGGAGGCTGAATCAGAAGAATTGCATGATTTAAGGCCAGCCTCAGCAACTCAGCAAGACCCTGTCTCAAAATAAAATACTGAGGATGTAGATAAGTAGTGAAGCATTCCTGGGTAAAATCTCTGGTACACACACACACACACACAAAAAAAAATCTTATTGCTTTGATTCCTATAAGAGTTAGGTACAACTATAGATTATTTTATATGACAATGTAAACTTAAAAAGCTACCACCCCCATTTTTTTCTTCTAATAAAACATAGTCAGGAAAACAGATAATTACCTTTATTTTCACAAGCCATCCACTGAATTGGTCCTCTGTCATAATTATGTTGACCAACTGAAAATGTGAACACTCGTACCTAGATGAATTGAAAAATAAGTATCCATTAGGCTTGAAAAAAATGTAATTGAATGGCAAATAAAAATAGCTACAGCAAGACACAATAAAGTTGTCCAGTTAATTTCATATGACAAGAAAAATTTAAGCGAATAAAGAATTCAGGAGGGCACCAGAGGGAAATCACATAGCCTTCTATAAACATAGACTCCAATTGCCAAATTTAGATTAGCACTTTGGTGTCCTGCATCATATCCCAGTCCTCAGGCAGGAGCATGATTAAGCTTTCATTAGTAGAGAATGCATCTCTCAGGTCCACCTCAATTTGACCTGGTTAAACCTGTCTCACTTGGTTATATCACCCACATATGGAGAGAGGGCAAAAAAAATATTTCCGTATATCATAGGTAGGAAAATGTATACAGAAGGTCATGTTACTTTTAGTTGCTTAAGGCAAGTCAACTCAGTGTTGGCTACTTTCACAGCATGGAACTATTTAAGATGCACACATATAATTATGATGTTATTATATGACTTATTTTCTAGAAAAGATGGCTGACACAGATAAATAGGCAAATATGCTCCTAGCTTTTCCTAATTTCTGTGAATTGTCTATTTGAATTGACATTTTCTAATTGCTTAATCTTTTGTACATGATTACAGAGCACAAATCTCAGAGACTTCACATCTGTTTCTTTTCTTTTATTGGACTTGGCCACACAGATGACATCTTAATAATCCCTGCCCCCAACATTTATACTGGGATGTTGCTATTTCTCTTGTTAAGGTTTTATCTGAGCCACTCTTTAAGTCATTCAGGTTTGCCTTAGCTAGTAATGTAGGAAGTGATTAAGTTTTAATTAGCTCAAAATTATAAGGATAAATGACTGGATTTAGGTTAAAGGTAGAGGACGCTCACACTCGCCCATGCTGGCTTTCCCGCTCTCATGCACACATGTTCTCTCTAGCCCTTCTTCTATCTTTAGGAATTCTCCCTCTAAGTGCAATAATTTCATTTTCTTTATTTCTCCAATTGGGTCATTTTAGGTTGCTCTATATATTTGAAAATCATGTTACTGCTTACATAGTTGAGCCTACCCCTAAAGGGAAGTGTTTTTATAAAGCAGGCTGACCACCCTAACTGTTAATTCAATTTGACTGCCATACCTTAAACAATCATCACATGAATTCAGAACAGGGGAAAAAAAATCCAGATGCTTCAGAGAGCACTTGGTTATGTCCTTCATAAGTAAGGTTGGTAAGTCAAGTTTCAGATGTTCAAACAAAGCACAGCTGTGTCTAGTTGTCACCACTAGCTATGTCTACTGTAACCACAATAGTGTTGTGGTGAAATATTTTTCACAAGATACTTTTCAGTTTAAAGAATTAAATGAATATGACTAAGTGAATTATGTCTATGTCTCTGGAAGGTAAGCACTTGTAATAACTGAAAGGCTATACACTTAGACTCCCACTGTGAGATTATTTTGATAAATGTTATCATTCAAATAGTCCAAATAAATATTTAACTTTTAAAAAATATCCAGTAGAAAAAGACTGATTGCTTTGTTTTACTACAAAAGTTTCATCTAACCCTCATATGTTTGCCTACATGGAGCCTTCAGAAGTTGTCAAAATTAAGGAATTTGGGAGCAGAGCTGGGTGTCTATCCAGTCATATTTAATTACAAAATTTTAAGCATCCTAAATTGTACTCCCCCCCTTTGTTCTTTTTCTCACATAGGTTCTTGGTTATTTAGATGTTAACTAGACATTTAAATGTACGCCAATCATTAGCTGATTGACTGCCTTGCTTATTATATGTGTTCAACTTGTACCTCTTTTCTCAATTTTTCACTTACCTTGCTGCAGACTTTTTAATAACCATTTTTCTGAAAAATTTCTCCCAGTAGATACTAAAAATCTCAAGAATAAAAATTTACTCTTTTCTTATAATGTTTGCAACTGTCTTACCATTAAAATATTTACAAAATCTATCATACCTGTTTATTTTTCCTCAAGTTTATGTATACACATACATACATATACACTTAAAAATTTTTACAAACTATAGATTATCTTAGAACTTTCTGATATTATTTTATTAAATATATGTATACTTTTATTTCTGGAAATTGAACCATGACTTCTTACATGCTAGGTAGGTACTACTGACTATATGCCCAGCCCATTTGACTTTTTAAGACAGAGTCTCCCCAAGTTGTCTAGGTTGGTCTTAAATTTGAAATCATCTTCATCAGCCTCCTGAGTCACTGGGATTACCGGGGTGCACTACAACACCCAGCTATAAATATATAATTAGTTGAGAAAAAGTTAAGTGTATGTCACTCAAAACTTGGCATCTACAATAGTGCCTTACACACATTCTTTATACCACCATGAAAATCAATACACAAATATTTCATTCCCAGGTGCTGAGTCTTAGCTAAATTTGTCTTTGTTAATACATGTTAGGTAATTATGTAGTTAAAAACTTTAAGTCCACTGATTTCATAAAAAATTACATTACATATTTTATAGTGCATGTAGATAATGGATTGGCAAAATTTAGAAAAATCTGCGTGCACTGATTTTTCACTTGGAATTACAAATGGCTTTATTTCTCCTGAAATGTACTATATTACTGCCACCCTGTGGAGCAGTCAATGAATTACTGAACTCTGAAAATTTAGATGCCCAAAGCCAGAGATGACTATTATTCCCACCTTCAGATGCTTTCCACTTCTTTAAATTTGTAATTCTTATTTATCCATAATTTTGGAGAAATGAGAAATAAAGTCGACCCTTGAAATATGCACAATTTAAAATTTAGGTGAATTTAATCTCAAAGATGGGGTATAAATGTAGAGCTTTTTTAGTGCATTTGTATTGTTCTGTACAAAAATTAAAAGATATATAAAACATCTCAAAACACTAAATCAGTAGTCAGTCACACAAGCTGAATATTTTATCTGAACTTTCAAGTATAAACTACCTACTTTAGACTATGCCTGTATCATGGCAGACTCAACTTCTGCTGAGGGAAATTTATTTAGTTCATGTCTAGTAGCACATTTATAATCATAAAACAAAAGCACACTGGGAATTTCCAAGTGAAATATTCATATTCAGTTATAAGTTTCTCAGCTAGTGTGATTTTAAATTGGCTCTTATTTTAAACGGTGTATTTCTGTGAAGTTTTCTTCACAGGGTCACGTATTAGACATACATGATCCATTGTAAATGGCTTTCACATATATTTTTCATAATGCGCAGAGCCCAGGGCTTTAACAGAGGTAATGTGGGAAAACAGCATTGAATAAATATCAAATTGGGATAAAAGAATTCCAAGATTGTACAACTTAGTATCTATTATAATACTGTACACATAAATGGAAATATTAAATGAAAGGAAATTGAATAAACAAAATGAGTAGTTTCTCATTTTACAGAGACTAGAGACATGTTCTCTTCTCTGTATTGAACTCTGTCAGTTCATTATGATATTTAGGAAGAGCAGACTGAAGCTGGACTTATAGTCATCTCACACTTTGGAATTTGGGTAGTTTCATTATACTTTGAGTAAATATCTAATCTTTTTTTTTAAGTACATTTACTTGCTGGAGTTAAATAAAAAAAATTAGGCAAAATGTAAGGACATTTATTACACTTATAGCATCCACATGCTCTGTTATTCCTAGAGAATACAAAAATCTTATAACTCTCAACTCACCCTTAGGTGTAAAAGTATATTCACTGAAGTAACAATAATTTGGGGGTAAATAAGATTAGGCAAATTAAAAAAATCAGTCATTATTAGTTGTAAATTTATGTAGTTTATCCTTAGTTGTTTAAAAATAATTTTTTTCTCTCAACATAATAATTCCAATAATTCAAAGTATATGAGTCTGGACTACTTGTTTCAAAAATAACCTTAATTTTAAGTAAATTTGGATTATTTAAAATATACTACTTGTTTGTTCCATATAAGCCATTAGTTCAAAACTTTACACTATGTTTCTGACTTTTGCTAATCTGTTTTATAATTTGTTTTGTCTCGTTTGTTGAATACTAAAATACTTTTCTTCAATTAAGAGTTTTCCAAAGCCACAGGGTCAACCTATTTTAAAAAGTCCTAAGAATTTTCTTCCCAGCAGAACTCAGTTACTGGAAACTGTCACCTCAACAATTATCAGTTACCCAGAGTTCAAGTTTAATTTACAACAGGCAAATCTCCAAAGAATAATGGAAGTGAGTCTTTGAAGAAAGGAAGCCAGCAAAACTAAAATAAAAGCTTCAGCTATTGAGACATGTTAGAAAAATGATGTCAGAGATGGGCTGTATTAATCTACTCTATGCACTAAAATTTTTGGTAGTAAGCCTATCAAAATATTAAATGGGACTGAATGTTTCAGAGTGTTTGATTAGCCCCATCTCTAGTTTTATTACATTACACAATAAATGAAAGTGTCCAAATTCTTGTGTCACCATTTATTTTAAAAGCCCAAATGATCTGAAAGGTAATTGCAACCTACAAAGTCCTGACTATCTATCTTAGGCTGTTGAAGCTGTGAGGAATGTATCCCAGAGGGGTGAAGCCCAGCTGCCTGACTAGAAGACAGGCTCCCAGGTGGACAAATGATGATCAGCACACACAGATGAAAGACACAGACAGATGACCAGTCAGGCTCGTTCTATATGAGGGTATGAAATTTAGGCTATCAATGAAATTCTTGACTCTGCCTCATAGTTGTTGTTGATTTTCAACAAGTTACTTAACTTCTGTAATTTGGGCTTTCATATTTCCAAAATGGGGACAATGATGATGATGATACTTTTAATCAGATGAGCATTCCAGTCATAAAAAATAAAGGTTGTATTTATAACACATAAAAACTATAAGCTCCATGAATTTTAGCTACCATAATGAAGATGATAGTGAGGATGATGACTACAAAGTTCCAGAATTCAACGATGTAATATTTTCTATTTGTGGAACATTAATCTTTCCTACCTCAAAAAG